CACCAGACATAGATCAGCAACTTCCATTCCCCTCTTCAATAGATTTGTGCTAACAGGAAGAATGTTAGAAACAGCTTGCCAAATAAAGTGCTTAATTTTCCCCATCACCTTCAGCTCCCAAATTTTTTTCCTAGCTCTTTTGTTACCACCAGCTAGGACACTATTCTCTGCAACAGGACTTCTTCCTAATCTCTCAACAAGTAATTTCCCATATGTTTTATGCACTGAGAATCTGCCCTTCACCACCATCTCACATTGTTTCTTGTCAGCCATTTTTGTTAAGGGATTTGATTGAAAGGATTTTATCAGCAGCCTCATGATGAAACAAAGCTTTAACCAGAGATAAATCCCACTGACTACCACCTGCCATGAGAAGATCTTTAACTTTAAACTTGTGCCCCTCAATCTCCACTCTGAGTTCAGGTGAGAGACTTTTTATATCAGGCACCCAATTCACTTCATTAAGAGATGTGTTTTCCCCATTTCTGATAGTGATTTTCACTAGCCTTTGAAGATCAGGGAGGAAAGCAGCCCATGAAGACCAGAGCCATGAGGACCCACCAGTATTCTTCCACTCAAACATAGAGCAATTTTTGAAGTATCTCTGCTTGAGGAGCTTACTCATAAGCAATTCAGGTTGATCAAAAATTCTCCAAAGTTGTTTCATGATCTGAGCTTTATTAAATAACTTCAAATCTTTAAAGCCAAGCCCACCTTCAAGTTTAGGGAGAGAAAGCTTATCCCAAGCAATCCAATGCATTCCCTGATCACTGTTCACATCTTTCTTCCACCAAAAGTTAGACAGTAATCTGCACACTTCTTTACAAACACTAGTGGGCAGGATAAAACATGACATTACAAAGACAGGCAGTGCAGAAAGGACACTTTTAATCAACACTTCTTTACCTGCAGTAGATAAAAATTGGTTCTTCCAGCTATTGATTCTAGATCTGACCACTTCAACAACAAACTGAAAGGTGGCTATTTTGGAAGCTCCAATTCCAAGAGGAAGACCAAAGTATTTGGAGGATCTCTTAACTTTCACCCCAGCAAAGATCATAGAAAGACTGGAGCCCAAATCAGCAGATCCATTCTTACTAAAAAACATAGAGGATTTATGCATGTTAACTTTCTGCCCAGTGAAGATTTGATATTTAGAGAGAATTTCCAACAACAATTCTGCATGAGCTTTATCAGCCTTGCAGAAGATTAAGGCATCATCCGCAAACAACAAGTGGGATATCATTGGGCCCTCTTTACAAATTTTAATCCCTCTGAAAACACCTGAGGCCACTTTCTGGCTCAAAGCAGCTGAAAATATCTCAGACACCAACAAGAACAGGTAAGGGGACAAGGGATCACCCTGTCTGATCCCCCTAGATGATTTTACAAAGCCACACACTGAACCATTCAGATTAAAAGAAAAAGTAGGGCCAGCAATGCAATTCATCACCCATTTAATGAACCTACCATGAAATCCCATCCTTGCCATAACCTTTCTGATACACTCCCACTCTACCCTGTCATAGGCCTTCTCCATATCCAATTTCAAAGACATGAACACTTGAGACCCAGATCTATGCCTATGCAAATAATGGAAGACTTCATGGCCAATCACAACATTATCAATCAGTAAACGACCAGGCACAAAAGCAGTTTGAGCATGATTGATGCAACCATCCAGACAGACCTTAAGTCTATCAGCCAACAACTTAGCAATCACCTTATAGAGAATCCCACATAAGCTAATGGGTCTGTAATTCTTCAAAGATTCAGGGTACATGCATTTAGGAATTAGAGTGATGACAGTATGTTTCCAGTTTTTTAACATATGCCCAGAAGAGAAAAAACTACTCACAGCATTGCATACATCAGCTTTAACAATGTGCCAGAACTTATGGAAAAAGATTGCAATCATACCATCATCCCCAGGAGCTTTTTCTGGGGCCATATTGAAAATGACAGCTTTTATTTCCTCCTCACTGAAGGGCTTAGTAAGTTCTGAGTTCTCAGCAGCAGAGATAGTCATAGGAATATTTTGGAGCAGCTCATCACCACCTCCAGATCCTTCAGAAGAAAAAAGATCAGTATAGAAGCTGGTAATATGATTTTTTATATCCTCCTGATCAGTGAACACCTCCCCAGAGGGCCCCACAAGTTTGGTGATAGCATTTTTGGTTCTCCTCTGAGTAACAGCAGCGTGGAAATACTTAGAATTGCAGTCCCCAGCTTTTAACCACAAAGCCCTTGATTTGCATCTCCAGAAATTTTCTTCTTCTTGGTAAGCATTGTCAAGCTCCCTCTTCATCTCATCCCATTCTTTCCAGTTTCTGTCCTTACCTTCATTTCTCATATCAGTCAATTTCTCAGATAAAACTTTGATAACTCTGCCATTGTTCTTATGAGATGGTTTGTGCCAAGCAAGTAAAGACATTCTGGTATGTTTAATCTTCTGATGCACTTGGTACATAGCAGACCCCTCCACAGAGATATTCCACCCTTTCTTAACAGCCTCTTGAACCCCTTCCATCTCCACCCAGTTACTGTTGAATTGAAATCTCTTATGCCTCAAATGCAAATCAGACTTGGTGTCAACAAAGAGAACATTATGATCAGAAGTTGTTCTATAAAAATTGGAGGCCTGCATCCCGGGGAATTTGTTCAACCACTCAGCTGAGGCAAAAATTTTATCTAGTCTCTCCTCAACATAACCATCCCCAACTCGATTGTTTCCCCAGGTGAAAAAAGATCCCATCTGAGCTACTTCTAACATTTCCATATTGCTGATAAACTCCTGGAACTTCACAAAACTACTTTCACTCCTAGCCACCCTTCCTCTTTTTTCCTCATTGCTCACCAAGTCATTCCAATCCCCAGCAATAATCCATCCCTCACCCCAAGAGTGCCTCCTCTCCTCCAGAAATTCCCACTGTCTACATCTTTCTCCTCTATCAGTACTCATATAGACAAAAACCATCCACACCCAATCTTCAATTCCAGCTCCTTTTATTTCTATTTGTATGAAAAAATCATTACCCAGAATCTGCTTCAGTTCAACATTATTATCCCACATCATCAATAAACCCCCTCTGGAACCATTGGGATCAACCATATACCAACTGTCATTAAAACCAAGTTTCCTGCAGACAGTTTTTGTAAAGGCTCTATTTTTCTTAGTTTCAGATAGGAATATAATATTTGGGTGGTGGATTCTTCTAGAATCCTTAATCTGGGAAACTGTAAAGGGCCCACCCAGCCCTCTACAGTTCCACACCATTACCTTCATTGATCACATTGGGGCCATTTATGGCTGGCCTTCTCCACCAAAGAAAGATCTCCCTCATATTTCTGTTTTTTCTCAATAGGCTCCCTCTCCTCCTTATCTCCATTCCCCTCATGGATTACTAATTCCCTGCTTCTTTTCATAGGACTAATTTGGTTGGAATTGTCAGACTCCCCAGCTGATTGAGCAGATTTGCTATGTACATTAACTTTCCTTCTCCACACAGATGCATTCCTCTTCTTGAGATTATAGGAACTTTCAGGTTCAACTCCACCCCTCATGTAGTCATGATCCTGTGAGACCTCAGCCTCCATGATAGCATCATGTTGGTTGTCCAGAATGTTCTTCCCATCCCCCTGGATCTCCTTTGCGCCATAAGTCTCATCTCCAGTCCCTTCCCCTTCAATAACCATATTAGCATTTGATTGAATATCATCAGCTTGATTTCTTCCTTCAGAACAAGTAGCTTCTCTGGGTTCATCAATATTCTCCCGAGGTTTCAAATTGGCCGAGACTCTAGAGTCTTGTATAGCATTGGCTTGCAGTGGAATTGCCTTATCCCCAGAATGATCACTGCTGGAGTTTCTGCCACCAGGATATGTTTCACTCGCCTTCATCCAGTCACCATACTGCCCCTCAACAACACAATTGTTGGCTATGTCAGCTTCTCTCCTTTTGCAGTTTCTTTCCAAATGACCGATCATACCACAATAATAGCATAAATTAACAAGCTTCTCATACCGAATTAAATTGAATTGGGGGAGGAAAAATAATTTAAAAGCTAAAAATTGAGTTAAGGGCATTTTGGTATTCTTGCATGCCAAGATGGCTAAAAAAGATTTTTTTGCAAAACATGGCCAAAATTTATGTTTTGTATATTTATATGGCTATTAAGTGATAATAACACTTTCTTTTAACACCCCAATATATACATAATCTTTCTTTTACACACTGTCTCATTAAAAAACTTCTTTTTTCACCTCATAACTCATGAAATTATCTGCGATTTAAAATAGCATATCCAAATGAGCCGCATAATTAATAATTATGAGGATATTGTTGTATATATACAAACGAATATCCATATTTAAATAAACTGCATAATTAACAATTATGCGAGATCAATAATGCTCCCCTACATATTAACATCACCAATGACCAATGTGTGCATGCCACATAAGCGGTGGACATATTAACATGTGCCCACCGTGGGTAAGGAAGCATTACTGTATGCGAGATATTGTAGCATATATACATCGGCATATGTTGTTATCGTATATACTAATCCACCACATAATTTACGAAATGGCGAAACTTATTTTTCATATATAGTTATCGAATATTCAAAGTTGATAGTCGCATATGTTACTATTATGCAACGTGTTTTCAAGAATGACTACACTCCGATTACAAAAAATTATTCCGTCAATATTTTTGATTTTTAGATACACATTTAGATGAATGTAAATTAAATAATTTACAATTTAAAACATTTATCCAATGATTTTAGTCTTCCTTAGCATATATAGTATTTGACAATTCGACACGCTCACTCACTTTCTTGAAACTTCGGTTTTACCTTCCCCACATTCTACGTTTATATATTACCAACTCCCATTTACCTTCATTTCATCGCAGCTCACACACTTTTTTTCTAACAGAACAATTTTCACTCATCAAGAAAAAAAAATTCCTTGCGAATTTCTGAAGAAAATTAATGGAGAACGCAAATCAATCGTCTTTCTGGCAGTTTACCGACAATCTCCGCCTCCAGACAAACAGCCTCGCCAACCTGTCCCTCAACGATTCCATCTGGAGCACTAACTACGCCGCCAAGCGCCCGGCGGAGCAGCGCCGGAACTTCGATTTCCGGAACCCCGGAGCTGACGCCGGGTCCAATTTCTCCGACCCGAAGCTCGATTTCAACAACCTAGGGTTTAACGACGACGCCTGGAAGGCTCCGATCATCGACAGCCTGAGCGACTCCAAGGTTAATTACTCCGGCTTCGACCCAGGGCTGAACGGCGGGTTCAACAAGGGGATCTACTCCTCGTCTTCTTTGAATTTCAACAGCTACAGCAAGGGGAAGGGTTTTGCTAACAGTATCGTGTTGAATGGGAAGGTGATTAATAAGGGCGGTAAAATTGAGGAGGGGAAGAAGAATAAAGGCAGCAAGGAGAGCAATAATAACGGAAATGGTGAGAATAAGAGTGCCGTTGATAAGAGGTTTAAGACCCTGCCGCCGGAAGAGGCCTTGCCGAGGAACGAGACAGTTGGTGGCTATATCTTCGTCTGCAATAATGATACTATGGCTGAAAATCTCAAGAGGCTGCTTTTTGGTATGTTGATCCTTCTATTTCAGTTTTTATATTGTTGTTTTTGTGTGAAAGATTGATTTTTCCTGTTCATCTTCTTTCTTTTTTTCTTTTTGGCTGAATTGCATCTTGTGGGTGTTTTTAGATGTCTGTAAATTGTATCATATGGTTGGCTGATATTCGATGGGGTCGATGTCATACTATTATGAATAGTTTATGAGAAGCCATTGTCATTAGTTGATAACAAGCAATTTCATATGGAGCATGATGATAAAACAAGACTATGGCAAAAAGAATGTGTGTAAATTGCATTATCACTGTTATTTTTTGAATTAGTTCTTAGAAAGTTGTTGATCTTGGTTTGCTTATTCAATATAAAGGTATTATTTGCGAGGTGTTTCTAACTTGGTTGTGCAATCTAAATTTGCAGGCTTGCCCCCTCGTTACCGTGACTCTGTTCGTACAATAACTCCCGGTTTGCCGCTCTTTCTTTACAACTACTCAACTCATCAGCTCCATGGGATTTTTGAGGTGTGTATTAATAATAATCGCGTAATTGATATTATTTCCCTTCTAAAAGTCAATTCAGAAAGTTACTTTCGGAGTCGGATAATCTAGAATAGGCATACATATGCAGTATTTTGCCATATCGAGCTCTTGAAACTATGACGGCTATAAACATCTGTAGTTGTGTTGAAATGGAACTAAGATGTATATGTACAATCAAGTAAAAAAAAAAATAAAGTATGTGTGTTAATGGAAAGATTTGACATATATCGTTTGTATTCTTCCAGGCTGCGAGCTTTGGAGGGACTAATATCGATCCATCGGCTTGGGAGGACAAAAAAAACCCGGGTGAATCTCGTTTTCCTGCTCAGGTGTGTAATTTTAGAGAGTGCAGTAGGTGATGGTCATTTTAGTGTCTCGGATTTACGTTTTGTATCTTTTTATGAGAACTAAACCAAATTTTGTTCTGCGTGCAGGTTCGTGTGGTGACTAGGAAGATCTGTGAGCCACTGGAAGAGGACTCGTTCAGGCCAATTCTTCACCATTATGATGGACCCAAGTTTCGTCTCGAGTTGAACATCCCCGAGGTAAATTTGGTTGACTGAAAAAGTATTTAAATTGCAAATGTCACCACAACCTCCCTTTTAGTTTTTGCGTTTTCATAACAAATTATTCGTAAGTTGAAATGCGAAACAACTGTCGGTGGTTGTTTGTAATCATGTATGCATTTGATGGGTGAAATCGTTTGTTATAGATCATATTTCCCGAGTGTGTTTGTTTTTACTAAATATTTACCTAATACTGTGATGTGTACGGTTCGATCACAACAGGTCCTCTCACTCTTGGACATCTTTGAAGAGAACAAAGCTTGAGCATCATCGTGTGGGGCTCTGTAGTTTGAAAATCAAACACAAACACTCAAAATAAAATGAAGAGATGAAAAGGGAAGCTACAAATTGAAGTGTGGCTTGTAAGTCATAAGCAATATGGAGGTTCGGCAGATAAATTGAGAGCCGGAAGAGTAGCTAAACGTGGTGTTTGTCGATATATAATATATAGAGACAAGTTTTTATGCAATGTAGGGTGGAGTTTATGCTCCCCTTGTTGTAATATGACCATGATGAAGGTATCATCAACATTATTATATATATTTACAGGCAAAAATGCTATGTTGTTATGGTGGATGTATTATTGTTATAGTTTTTGTTCTTTGCAATCCTAAATTCTCCTAAAGTTATTACACATTATTCCTCTCTAATAAAAGTCACAAGTCCACCGTGAATAATGTTAGTTGAAGTCTCATATTGAATTGAATAAAATAAAGGCACAGGGACTCATGTGACTTGTAGGCACCCTTGCTACTTGTTAGTCAATGTGGAATTTATTGTTGGTTGATTTTAGGTGAACTGCTACCTTATCATCAATTAAATAATTATATTTTATTAAAATATAAAATATAATATTTTATATTTTAATAAAATATAGGAGTTCTGGATGAAATTTGGATACTGCACCATTACGGGTGCCGAGCTCTGGGACTTCTGCAATGGCTTTGTATGGCGTGGGACATGGGGCTTCGGCACGTTATTGTCGAGGTGGACAGTCTATGTGTGACGACATTGGTGCAAGGCGCGGAGGACAGGCTTAGGTCTCGTGCAGCTCTGGTTACGGCCATTCGGAACCTTTTGGAGCGAGAATGGAGCGTTAATATAAGCTTCAACACGTACATAGGGAAGTTAACTTCGCGGCGGACTACATGGCGAGCTTGGCAACATCTTTTTCAGTCGGCTTACATCGGATTTCGTCTTCCCCCATTGGCTTGGGAGCTTGGCTTCAGCATGACCTTATGGGGGTTTCCTACACCCATCGAGATTAGCTTAATCACCTTTGGGCCTCTGACCCTCTTCTTTGTACCAAAAAAGAAAAAAATATATATATATATATATTTTATTGTACCGAAAGAAAAAAATAATTATATTTTACCGCTTCCTTCACGGGATGACCCTTTTTTCCAATAATGAAATGATCAACGGCGGTGATTGGTTGGTGTTAACTTTATATCACCTGTTATTACAACTTTATTCACGGGATGGACATTTTCAATCATCCATAATTATTCAAAAACAGTATATTATCAAAAGAAAAGGTTATAATATATGAGTGTATAAAATAGTTATTCACATTATTTTGAAAAACATTTTATGGCCTTAATTGATTGAAAGTATATGAAAAAAAAGTTCAACAAAATATATAAAAATTTGGAATTATGTGAAATGGTGCTACCAGTTGATTTTGCCTTACCCATCCATCAGATGTTGTATTAAGCACATTGAAGTATCTATTAAAGCAACATATAACTGCAGAGATTGGCTCAAGTGGTAAGTAGTTTGATGCCACTTAAACAAGGTCTCGCGTTCGAGTCTTTGTGGATGCAGAAAATCTTTGTTAGGAGACTCACCCATCACTGTCATGTGTGCGACCCGGGTCAACGAACATGTGTTACTCAGAAAAAGGTGTTCCACCAGTTGTGTTTGCATCCATACATGTGTCCGAGCACCGAATATTGTTAGTGGCTCAGAAAATATATACCCTTTCTTTGTGGTTCGTTTTTTCTCAGTCATTCCTTCTCTATTCTAAATTAAGAATCTAAGGACAGCTTTTTTTTTTTTTTTTNNNNTTTTTTTTTTTTTTTGAGTTGAGAATCAAGATTGTAAGATAAATAATTGTTTTATTTCAGCTGATCTTGCTCGTTTAACCTATAACTCGTTTTGCAGATGATTTTATTAAGTTTCGGTTAAGGAAAAAATGTCAATTGTAAGGTATCAATAATTTATTTCCATTCATTTAATCATCAACGACACTTTCTCATCCACATCATATATACATCATACAATTTTGCTATGAACCCAACGGTTGGTTCCATAGTGAAACCAACTTTTTATACGCAACAAGTAAATTATATCATATTAATAAAACTGTTAGTATTTTTAGTAATCAGAGAACATATTAATAAAACTATTAGTATTTTTAGTAATCAGAGAATACAGTATGATTTACTTGTTATATGATTTACAATTTTGCTTTGAGCCAACAGTTTCCATTGTGGAGCCAACTTTATATATACAACAAGTAAACCATACTATATTAATAAAATTACCAGCATTTATTTAAGCAATCATAAAATATAATATGATTTACTTGTAGTATATAGACTGTTGGTTCCACTATGTAGCAACTGTTGGTTTTATAGTTGTATGATTTACAGTTTTGTTATGGAGCCATCAGTTAGTTCCATAGTGGAACCAACTTTCTATACAACAAGTAAATTATACCATATTAATAAAATTGTTAGTATCTATATATATATAAAAAGAATTACTATTTTTTAAAAATAGTAAGTTAAATCTTTGTCAAAATCTTATCTGCATTAATTATATACTATTTATAGTAGTTTTTATTTTTTATTTTTAAATAAAATCATGGAGCATTTAATGCTGCCCTTGAATGATGGAAGTTGTTATCTTTTTATGGCATACAAAATTCGGCCAATATATTTTTTGCATAACAGTTTGATGGAGAGATAAACGCATAAATCAGAACACATTTAATAAGATTATCGATTAATTTGTATCTTATTCTGGTAGATAGGTACACATATAAAATAAAATAAAAAATTGATGTATGAAAAGATGGTTTTATAAATATAATATTTGTATGTAAATTAAAAATTTATGAATTTCTTAACTATTACATTCACCTCATCAATTAATCCAAAACTAAACGTGAGATTTATTTTTAACAATAATACATGTATTTATTTTTAACTATATACACGTAAAATTTACGTGAGATTTATTTTAAAATCCTATTATTTTCAATGAAATTTACGTGAGACTTATCTCAAAATCCTATTATTTTTGTATAGAAGTGGAATTTAATATATGTATATAATAAGAATAAATTTTTAAACATGTTGTCTGAGTAAATATTTTACGTGTATATATATATGTATATGTTAACTTTAATTGTTTTTAAATATATTTTTCTTATAAAATAGTTTAGAAAAATTTAGGTAATTTCACATTTTCTAAGACTAATATATAATGTTTTAGGTACTTTTATGTACGTTATATAACAGTCTATGAATTCTTAATGTATTTTTGGTTGTAATATTATTAACACATATAATATTTTAGATACTTTTAAAAATATTTGGACAAATTTTTTACACATTCTCTAGATTAAAATATATTTTCCTTACAAAATGGTTTAGAATAATGTTAGGTGACTTCAATCATATTTCAAAAATACTCTAGATTAAAATATATCTTCCTTACAAAATGGTTTAGAATAATGTTAGGTGACTTCGCACATATTTCAAAAATAAAATAGAATATTTCAAATACTTATTCATATGTGATATAAGATTTTATATCATATAAAAAGAGAATAAGTTTTATAATTCCAGATAAAAAACATTAAATAAATATTTAATCTTAGATATAAAATCTCATTTTATTTGTTATATAATACTTCGGTTTGCATTAATCTTATTTCTAAATTTGATAAATCAAGACTACAAGGACTTACAAATATTATTATTGCACTTAATAAAGTGCAATAATATCTTTATTTAGGCTCATAATATATTATATGTTTTTAAACATATTATTTAGAAATTTTTGTACACGTTCTATCTATATATACATTTACATATAAACGTATGCATGTACATATGTAAATTTAAATATTGTTAGACATGTTTTCATGAAAAATTAATGTAGAAAATTTTAGGTGATTTCACTTCTTTTTAAATAGTTTAAACATATTTTCTTTACAAAATAGGTTAGAAAAATTTTAAGTAACTTCAATCTTGCAATAATGATATATAAATTTTAGATACTTTTTCCTACGTTATATAATATTTTAGGCATTTTTAATATTTTAAACATACATTTTCGAAAATTCTTTTATAAAAGATAATTTTATATATACGACAAGTTATACCATATATTAACTCCACATCTTCAATTTATAATTATTAGTTAATATTATTTACCTTTCTCTTTAATTTATAATTATTATTTAGTATTATCTACCCGTGCATCGCACGGGATACACACTAGTTTATTTAAATAACTATAGAATATAGTATGATCTACTTGTTGTATATAGAAAGTTAGCTTCACTATAGAGCTAAATGTTGGTTTCAAAGTTTATGGGATATTCCGTGAAATAATAAATTATTGAAAGAAATTCAATTTGATATGTTATTTGCTAAACTGGGTGATAGATTAAAAAAAAAAATTACCAAGTTTTTGTTTGAAATATATGAATACAATAATGCTAAGGAGCCAACAACCAATAAGACAGTTCCATGTGAGATTGTCCCACATGGCTCCAATGTGGGTGTTGGCTCCGTAACAGAGCCAACAATTGACGGTGGCGAACGACAAAATCTAGCACGAAATATCCACTAAAATTCTATGAGAATTCTATAGTTGGATCTCAGCTAAAATTCTAGTGAACTTCAGTCCACTAAAATCTAGCACGAACGACAACAGAAAATGCAAGCAACAATAGGTTGGCGGTGGCGATGGGTGGTTGTTGATATTTACCAATGCAAAATATCCGTTGCTATTTACCAACACAAAATATCTGTTGGTAATACAATATTGAAAGAATTTGTTGCTATTCCGTTGCAATTTTTCAACAGAAAAAATTCGTTGCTATTTACCAACGAAATAATCCGTTGCTAATACAGTGTTGATGATGTCCGTTGTTATTTTCCAACGGAAAAAAATCTGCTGCTAATACAATTTTGAAAGACTTTTGTTGCTATTTCATTGGTATTTTGTTTGTATTTACTAAC